CATCTCCGTACCTGTGGGTTGTTTGTTTAATGTTTGCTGGCCGTCCATCTCTACGACTTGCCAGCAAGTCATGCTGCGACTAAGTTCAGCAAGCACCTCAAACTGAGACGTCCAAGGCACCGCCCGAACGACGCATTGGCACATGCCCATGAAAAGCCCTTTAAATCCGCAGACTGGCTTTTGCTTGTGGCTATGTGCAACTTTCCAAGGGTTAAAGAAATCCAACTGTCGAGCGAGAGCCTTCCACACCAGGTGTCTTCGCCGTGCCGTTTGGAAGCGAGGCGCCCCTGGCTTTTGCCGCGGCTGACGACGAGGAGACTTTGCCTGACTGCTCACATAAGTTTGGATTTACGCCAGCACTCAGAGATAAAGTGAACTGAGACCTCGCAGCTTAGAGATACCGCCCTTATCGACAATGCTTCCGTATGTTCAGTGGCTACCACTATCACGACGACGACCACCAAGGACACTACCACCACCCCGACCGCCACGACGACGAAGAAGAGGACTACTACTACTACCACCACTACTCCTGCTGCTACTACTACTTCTTCTTGCACAGTCATACCAGTATCGCTACCACCACCACTACCGCTACGTCGACGACGACGACGACGACTCCTTGTTTTTCTTCTGTATGTTATGGTCAACAGCCTACTTGGTTTTGTATCCGCAGTCTTTAGATTTAAAACATAAGGTATCGCACAATAGGCGAGTAAACACTAAGCGGGGCATGCGCGAATCTTACGCCCTGGTAGATAGTTGCAAGAACACAGGCTAATGTCGGTGAGGATGCTAGCTGCTAGTGCAGTAGCACAACTTCAAGAGCCCAGAAGGGCACGTCGCATTGGTAGTCCTAGGGCACGCGGCAGAACATCCGCCGAGTAGCCCATCCATCGCATTCTGCTTGCCGAGGGGCTTTTCGTCCAGATCCCAGTTGGACAGTAGTTGCAACAGCGGCAGCGATGCCAACGACGAATCGGAACAATCCCCCACGTCTCTCAGCTTCTCGGTGGTTACGAGTGTTCCTGTCCGTAGCAGCTTTCCTCTGAGCCGCGAGGAGGCATCCAACACGGCCGTCGCACATGTGTTGGATGGTTTGGTCCAGGATGATGGATCGAAGGCACCCAGGGCACAGACAAAAGGCGAATGCCACCCAAGGCAGCCCTGTTCAGCTGCATCGTGTAGTATTGCTGGAGCCCCATATCCCGAAGCTTCAAAGGATTCTTATTCTTGTTCTTCTACATGAAGGGCTGAGTCCTTCTCCGGGATGCCGGATTCTTCTGGGGGCCTGAGAGGCCGTGGAGGCCTTGCAGCCTGAAGGAATGCAACGCATACCGAGGTTGCTTATTTTCAACAGAGGACTCTTCGGGACCGGCCCAGATGCGCCGTCATTCAGAAATATCTGTAAGACAAGTCGAAGAGGTGACGGTAGCACCGCGAACTTCCGTTGATAAGCATCTTCGATTCCAGAATGCAGAACCCGCAATGCCGAACCCTCCTTCGACGGAACTTGGCACCTGTCCGTTCTGGAGCCGTGCCAGCGACTTTTGTGCACAGGGCTGCTGGGCCTACTGCGCCCCTGCGCAGTCGAGCTACAAGGCCCCAGCGCGCGGCCCTCGGTTCAGATTTGCGGATGCTTTGCAGCATGTTCGTGGGTTAGCTGTCTTGCGAACTGCCAGAATCAGAACCGTTTTGGGTTTTGGCTGCTTCACCACCAGGAAAATCTTTTCTACAGGAGACCAAGGAAGCCCAGTGGAAGGCGCTCTTGGTTAAGATCTCTGGAATCCAAGGTTGCGGAGTTGTAGACGCCGCTGTCAAACTGTAGCGCGAGCAGTAGAAACATGCCATGCGACCCTGCCTAAGGCCGCAAGTGGAGTGGCCAGCATCTGCCGAGGATCTCAGCAAAGCCTCTGAGGACCAAATCAAGGTCCCCGCTCTAGGAGCTGAAGCAGAGTCAGCGAGCAGGTAATCAATTATTTTGGATGTGCGAGACTTAAACGCTCCGAATAGTGCATGGCACCGGTCGCTTCAATGTGGAAACAAATGTTCGTATAGCAGCAGCTTTGTTAATCCAATCACCGACATCGCGACCCGGGCAGCAGAAGTCGCATGATGACAGTTGCATGCTCCCTGAGGCACTTGTCGCCGCTGCCACACCCGATCTACCTGCACCACGGCACTTATGGCAGAGCCGCGATGTGGCCCCTCGTGTTGCAAAAATGTGGCTTATCCACTGTGACTTTCGGGCAGATTGGGACAGCACGCTGATCAGCCCTTCACTTGCACGGAGGTCTTGTTCCCATGATGACTAATAGGATACCTGCGCATTGCACTTGGGGCAGCCTCATCCAGAACGTACAATCTTGATCAGAATGGCATCCGTCCTGCGCACTTGCAGATGTCTGCCCCCGATGGGGCTGTTGTTCCACTTTGGGTCTCTGTAGCCGTGGCCAAACCCTGGATGCGTCAAGCCTGCAAAGCAACTTCATCACTGAAAAGCATAATCACTCCAAAGAATTCAAGATGAAAGGCTTCTCTTGGCGACGGTGAGCTTTTGATCCGCGCGCTGACTTGCGAGGGCCACGCAGACTGGTGCCTAGACTTAGGCTATTGATGGGCATCGTTGAGGTTTTCTTGTCGGGCGTGAAGAAGTCGTGAAGGCATGTTTTTCGGTGCTCCCACTATGATTCTGAAGTAGAAGTAGAGACTAGAGAACTAGGAACCTGCTGCTTGGCTGGAGACAACGAAGGTTGGAGTTCGTTCATCTCCCCACAAGGACAGGGAAGATGCTGAGACAAAGTTTGAGTAGCACATACAGCCGAGAGCATCACAGTTCAAAAGACACCTCGGTAGCTTCATCATCATCATCCTCGTCGAGCTCAGCCTTCATGCTCGCCATCTTCGCCGTCATCTCCTGGGAGCTTATGCATTACTAAACAAAATCTCCGAATCCTGCACATGCCACAGGCCGAAGTCAAGGCCCCCGATCCCTACATCCCCAAGCAACAGCCGAAGCCTCCAGCTTGTCATTGTCAACTCGACAGAGTTACGAACATCCTCGCCTGTGGCCCCTCTAATGACTATATGACTCCATAGACTATATTAATATGACAACACAGTGCCGTACAATACACTGCCGGCCATATCGTGATTGATAAGTATCGTGATCCCTACCGTCATCAGTGTTGGCATCATGACAGTAGCAGTAGCTGTAGCAGTGGTACCGCTGCGACTGCTCTTACAGTTGCTACCATTATACATACAAATGCGCTCTTATGTAGACATGCCAATATCCTTGCTGCGCGGCATGCCGTATCTTAGTCACCTCGTTGACAATTACATAGTGCATTCATACTATTACAAGCATACAAAAACAAACACGCATACATGGCTGGAGGAGCTTGCGCCAGCTTCCGGCGTGGCAGCCAAAGGATGCTGCCAGCAGCCGGGATGCCTCAGGCGTGTTTGGGGGAGAAGGCGTAGCTGGGATTGAGAGTTTCGCAATCGTAGAGGTTGTGGCACAGCACGGATCATGAATCTTAAGACAACTGCAGCCGAAACTGAAGTCCAGCCTATAGTGCACCTCGAAGAGCTGTTTCGCCCGACCCTCGGGCGAGAAAGCCAAAGTTGAATCTCGATTCGGAAGTTGGGGCCGTGGCCGTGGCGCGACTGCTGCCTTGGATTGGCGCTTCTCTTCCTGGAGAAGGCCTGATTGTCGTGGGAAAAGGAAGATAAGTGTGCAAAACTGAAGGTGTGCATCATGTACATTCCTGTGTCTATACAATATGTAACATGCATATATATATATATATACACACGTGTATGTGTATGTTTAATTGAGTTGTTTGTGTGTTTGATATCTGCCTTCATGTTACGAGTGTATGGTGCAAGGGAGGCGGCCTTGGTGGTTTGATCGTTTCGATCATGGGGCTAAGACAGTCGTTGGGATGTTTCGGACCTGACTCGGACCTCTCTACTGGGCCATCACGGGAAAGAGGCAGAAGCATCACATGGAGTCTGGACGTTTGTGAACCTGTGTCCATTGTGAGCCTCGCATGTTTGCAAGAGCCTGCTCAGACGCCGCTAGCGATGCACAACCCCGCAGCGCTCGCTGCGTTGCGAGCTTCGAAAGCGGGGAGATCCGCTGGGTGGAGGCAGAGTTCGAAACCTGCATCGAATTTTTCGGGATCTTGCCGACTAGTCAAGCTGTGAAGCCCCAAACCCTTGAGGGCTCAGGGTTTGAATTCTGGGTTCTTCATTCTAACATAGCTGGGCCCATGGGCTTGCGCATGTCACAATCTAGGCCTTGTTTGGCTGTAGTGATCTGCATGCTCCATATCATACATATACATCACACGCACATGTTGTATACATATGGGTAGATGACACATGTATGTGTATATACATATATATATATATATATATAGATATATATATATATATATATCGAGAGAGAGAGAGGTATATGCATGTCTATGTATGTGTCGCCAGAAACGGGTTTTCCGCTTCTAATCTTTGGATGGTGGACCTCCAGTTCTGGCAGAGGCATTCAGATGCCGGCTCCCCCCGCGCGTCCTGACTTTAGATGATTTTAGGTGATGCTGGAACCTGGCCTCAGTCCTTCAGGTTTACAATTGTCGATTGCGGTTTCGTATCACTCTCAACAGTACTCTCAACCCAAAAGCAAGCCTACAGAGTTTACAGTAGGCAAAAAATGGCGAAGGCTTCACGTCTGAAGTTTACATCCTCCTCTCTTCACATACACATTACATGTTCAGAATTGCAACGAGACTATATACACACAGAGACAGCTTCAGGCTCCAGAATCTCAAATCCACGCTTGCGCAGCGTCTCTCTGCAGATCAAGGGTGAAGCTGAATCCTGAAACCTTGTCCTTAGGATTTCAGCTTGACTTCTCCAACACCCTGAATGCAAAGTGTCAGAACAGCCATCTCACGCGCATCCCTATACAATACTCTTTCCAAGCCACGAGGACCATGGAGCTGCAATCATCCAACTTTGCTTGCAGAGGCCACCCTGAAGCCCAGCCAGGCCCTGCCAGGTCAACGCTGAAAACCCAGCAGAGTCCGAAGCTCATATCTTCGGCGCCTGGGAGCAGGCACACCCCGCCAGCCTCGCCCAGAGCCTCACCGAGCACTTTCAGCGTCAGGGCCTCCGTGGGCTGCTGGAGGAGCCATATCATGATTCCGATAAATCAATACATACTGGTAGCCGTAGTGATAGGAAGAATATTGGCTCGAGAGGACTCTGAGGGGCTGGAGCTGCGGGGTGGGGGGGTGTCGGGAGCTGGGACTGAAAGATGGCGATGATGATGCCGTCAAGATGATGATGCTTCTGATGATGACAGGATGATGATGACGACGACGATGATGATGATGGTGATGGTAATGCAGTCGAGTTTTGGGTTTAAGGCCTTGTTTTCCCAGTGCATCCTGGTAGTTCCTGGTTGCCTGGATGTTCCCTCAACGGGGTAGCGCTCAAAGGAGAAGTTCGAAGAGGAGGACAATGAAGAAGACGAGGCAGAGGAGTACGACGACGACATGGAAGAGGCTCTGGGCGTTGTCTTGAAGTACTGTAATACCCTTCGAATGATCTCGGGGTTCGCCCCGGAAACAGGGTCCGGAACGATGCATGCGCCCGCTTCAATTTGTGAAACCATGCAGAGCAACGCAGATCCCGGCCCAGCAGCACCTTGCAAGGAAGACATGGAGGAGTTCCATGCAGCAGACGACGAGGCCGAGGTCAGCGAAGACGAAGGCGGGTGTCAGGCTTCGGGGCTCAAGCTTCGAACTATCTTCAATCCAATGCAGTCCGAGGCAGCTTTGCACCGAAAACCGCTCCGAGCCTCGGGGCCGCCGTAACATCGCAGCTCAAGGCCTTTGCCAAAGCCGAGGGTAAGTCCATATGCAGGCGAGGACGGCAGAGAAGGGGAGCTTGAAGTTGAAGAGGAGGAGGACGAGGACCTGCAGCTGCCGTTGAAGATTCAGGATGCGTTTGGGGTATCCGCAACCGAATGTGCGAGTGTGCGGAACCATCAGGCAAGGTTTCGCGAGATGACTCCAGTCATGGTAGGACTCCAGCCATGATAGGAGGCTTTCAGAGCAATGGATACAACTGACACTTCAGTTTTGACGTTTGATCAATAAATATATTCTGCTGGGTCTTACTGTTAGGGGGTTCAAGTTGCAGCAACTTTGACTCACATGGCCGCAACAAACTGCTTGCAATCTGGCGGTCAGGTGTGCCATAGCTGATGTTGATGTGTTGACGTGCATCTTCAGTCTTCTCCACCCCACACCCCCATTTGCACCCGCCATGCTATCTTAGGACTCGTTTGCAGATTTTGCAAGAAACTGACATTGGTGTGAGCAGCCTGCACCCTGCGCGGTTGAGGCTGCTGGGCTTCATGCCTTGCGAAGTATTGTAGCAGCTCTTTGGTGATCCCGGTCCTCAGGAGAGTGGTGAGCTGCCGGACTCTGGCGAACAGTCTGGCATGCAGATGCCCTCGAATCGCTCTGCCAGGCAGCCCCCCTCAGGTTTCTGCTTTGTGGCCCTCAAGTGATACACGAAAACATCTCGAAATCCCCAAACCCGCGAGCTCGCACTGCTTGTTACTGGTACTCGTAACGCCCAGAGCAGCAATTCCATTCTCGAGCTGACAGGCGAAAGGGCGGGCGGTCCCAGCGTGGGCGCGGCATGTCTGGCCGTGCTGCTCCTGGTCGTGCGGGCACTGGCCGCGCCGGCAGTGCTGGCGCACCGGCCGGTGGCCGGGCTGGCGGCCGTGCTGGCAGAGGCGGCACACGCATCTCAGTCGGAAAGCCTGTCGCGCGACCTGGTGGACGCTCTGGAGGCCGCGGCCGCGAAGGCCAAAGTGCCCGCGGTGGCCGCAGCGGTCCGCCCATGGGCAAAGGGGGCAAAGGAGGAGGTCGCGCAAATGCACAAGGCAACGTGACAGGCGGCGGTGGCAGAGCTCCTGGACGAGGAGGGCGAGGAGGGCCACAGAGTGTTCGTCAGCGGCTACTCCGGCGAGCGCTGCGCCAAAGACGCCAGCAGCAGAAGACCAGGCACTTTAAGACTTAAGACTTATCAAGATTTGTGTACACTATGTCTGTGCGAATGATCCATCTTGATCACATCCGTAAGAGCCAACTGATCGCAGGGACCTCTCGCTGAGTGGTGGCCGCCAAGAGCTGAGTGGCAAGGGCCAGGCCAAGGCCTGACATCCGGTGGAATCTGTTGTTATTATGTGTCGTGTTGTTGTTATGGGTGGGTGATACTTCAAACTGCCAGTGCCGTCGTGGGCGATGTGTCTGCTTTGGCCTGTTGTAAGTTATACCGGGGAACTTTTGCCGTCGACACTCTCCTTCTTGTTGTGGGCTACTACCATGACAGTGGCGAGCAACCTCTTCTAAAGGTAATGTAGGGGTCGGACGAATTAGGTAATGGTATACAGTATCCCGTATCCCTTATGGTCACTTGTGGTCCGTATGTTATAGTTATAGTGTAACAGACCCCCAAACTCTATTCTAGCTATTGAGGCTATCGTAGGGCTGCGTGAAGCAAGCCCACAGAGAGCCCAAGAAGTTTCTTGGGTGTCTTGAGGTCGACGGTTCTATGTCTAGAGTTTAGGGTGGCTGCTTGTCTCATGGCATGCCGGTGGAAGAGCCTGAATCTGGCGGCAATGCCCAGATGTTCCCATCTCTGTAAGCCTCTGACCACCCTACCCCCACATGCCGAATGCATTTTGCGATTCAGGACGTCTCAAGTCCGAAGCATGGGGACGAGGATGACAAGGAGCACATCGGAGGCCCAGCAGTAAGGGGCATGCGGCATCAAAAGTCAAGGCAGCCAGGTAGCCATTAGGATCGCAATGTCGCCACCAGCTTCGACGGCACTCCGTTTACACACCATGTAAGCAAGTGTGCAGGAAGGGGCTTCGGCTTCATGCTTCTAGAGCAGGGCGGGGCATGAAATGCGAAAAGGTCCTCTCCATCCGCCTGTAAGGGGGGCACTGACAATTAGAATAGGGTTTTGGGGATTCCTTCTTAGAAACATAGTATAATATACCCCTAAACCCTATTCTAATTGTTAAGGCCCTACATTATGGTACCCTTATAGATCCCTTATAACCCTTATCATACCCTTATAGACCCCTTTAAATTCTACATACTTGTTAAGACCCCTACATGACCAGCCCTCCGTGAGGTAACCGCTGGGCCGGTGGCACCGGTGGGGCCGACACCGCTGGACTTGGAGGCCGTGGCGGACCGTATCGTCGCTTACCTGGCAAACACAGGGGTTTTTAGGGTTCCGTTAAAGGGGTCTACGAGGGCTACTATAACGGATCTATAGTAGGGTTCTATATAGGGGCCTTGTATAATAATTGCCTATACTATTTTGGGGGGTTGTTTGTTATAATATTTATAGTGTAAGATGCCCTAAAATCCTATTCTAACTATTAATTACGGCCCCTGTATTACGTGCTTTCCTTTTCCTTCAGGAGACAAGCACCTGAGGGTTGAGCAGCTACGGATTATATGACTTATATACGTCGAGGGGGAAGTTAGAGGCGAAGATCTTATTCTTATTGAGTGATGCCCTTCCCTGACGAAGTTCTGCGAGCTAAGACCTGGGAGTTTCCGAAAATAGGGGACGCTAATATAGTACCCTAACTAGTAGGACCCTTAGTATAAGGACCCCAAAACAAGGTACCCCTATTTTTCGGAAACTCCTCTGTATATATATATATATATATTTGTATATACATATATATATATATATACAAACATATATATATATACATATATACAGATTATAAACACGAAGAAAACCCATGAGCAAAATCACCTGTAAAGCCCGATGATCCCCTCTGAGACCCAACTAAGCCGGATACATCCACGAGAAAAGTCAGAAGTACACCGGAGCACGACCGAGGCCTCGAGAAACCCGGTCAACGAGTGCGTCAAGTCAGCGACGAGGCACGGACAAAAGCATAGGGGCCTTGGCAGGGTTTGGGTCTAAGGTTCAGGATTCAGGGTCTCAGGTTTAGGTTTTAAAGTTTCAGGTTTAGGGTTGGGCTTTAGGACAGCTGCGGCCGTTTAGGGCTTGGAGCCGTGAACCCTTGCACTTGCAACAGCAGCGCAGCAGCTGCAGGAGTATTGGTAGTGGTAGTAGTACTCGTCGTCGTCCTCCTCCTCCTCCGTCAGTTGCTGCTATTGCATCATGTGGTATGGTTTAGCTACATCTAATTCTATGTATGTGTCTGAATATATATATATATATATATATGTATATATATATATATATGTATGTATGTATACGCATATGATACCTCTCTCGCTCGCCTGCTCTCTCTCTGTCTCTCTCTCTCTCTCTCTCTCTCTCTCTCTCTCTCTCTGTTGTCTCTTTGTCAGTACAGTAGGAGAGACAATCAGAGGCGAAGTCTGGATGCAGGATCAACTGTCGCTCTCGTGCGCGGTTGTTTTCCACCTGGAGTTGCTAAACTTTGTGTCGCAGCCAGTCACAACCGGCCTCCTCCGAATACAATGCAAAGCTAAACAATTGCATTGCCAAGAATCTCTGAACTCTGAGCCTGTATGTTTCACCAGAAATTGGTGTGATCGTGTGTCTGATTTCTGTGGCGAGTTTGAGGCCTGGGGATTTGGTCTGGCCCAGCATTCGCTTAACATGGGGGCTGTCGAGATGTTGCCTAGTTACTACTTTCAGTGGGTGGACTTTCACTCACAGCGTTTCTCGAGCATCCCTTGGTGTGTTTGCGGTGCCTCACTTATGACAACAGCTTCGACCGCCAGCACTTCGTTCGCATCGTAGCCATCATGCGGGGCGGGGGTAGTAGATGTGAATTCAAGGCCTCGGGGATTTGCTGTTGTGGGGGTTGCAGCATCTCGGCATGCTTCCGGAACGTTTTCTGTGTGAGCGCCGCATTGACTCGAGCAGCAAAGCCTATATACTGCACAAGTTGACGGTCAATCATTGACGTCGTCGGCATCTGTGCCGCATCTTGGCCTGCAAATATTGAGAGACGAAGTCGCAAGGTCTGCTTGCATTCTGGGCTTCGTCTAGCTCCTGCGTGTGTTTAGTGCCAGCCCAGGCAGAGCATCCGAGAGCTCCTCGAGCGATGTGGCAAATCAAAGCAGTCGCGCAGTGCTTGCTAGCTCCCGTTTTGGCTTGGATGCTCCTGGCACTTCAGGGTTGCGAGCTTGCCCAAGTTCAGAAAGCCGCAGCCGACGCTAAGCAGAAGGTGGAGTCGCTACTGCCCGGAAGCAACCGAAGCAGGGAAGAGACAAGGACGAGAGCCCAAGCTGCCTTTCTACAACCTAGTAGACCGAGCAGTTCGCAAGCTGCAGAAATGCCGGTGGAGCTCTCCATTCCGCTGGCCGCGAGCTTTTGGTCCTTAGGTGCCCGGCTGCTAATGCCAGTTTCCCCGAAAAGTTCCAACGGTGGTTTACTGCCGGCACAGATGCTCATGGTTGACACGGGATCTTCATCCCTCGCTTTTTGCGAGAGCAGTTTGCTCCAGGAAGCTGCTTACCAGGAGACACAGTACAACTCCTGCAATCGCTACAACCCCGGTGGTGCTCCAATGTACTACTGGGGCCCCTTCGTTGAAGGGGACCTCCACGCTGGCAACGTGACTTTCTCGAATGCATCTTACAGCATCATGGGGCAGGAGGAAAACATGGGCTGCCAGCACGGCATTCAGGGAATCTTTGGCATCGCCTTCAGACAGTTGGATGCTGCTGAGCTGCCCAAGAAACTCCAAACCTCATAGATCCTTGAGGACCAACGAGCAAGACTAAGTAGAAGCTTTCCAAGCTCAGCGTAGATAGGGTGCTGGGCTCGTCGCACTTGCAAATACTCGCACAACGAATACATACAGAATCAGTCTTGGCAAACCACATCCTTCGCGCTCTTGACAGCCTTTCATCGAGTTCTGCCCTCAGCACAGGGGTCCCCACACCAAGCCCTGAGCCCATGCCGATTGGGGGGGAGTATGTGTGTGTGTGTGTGTGCTCAGTTGCTGAAGTCGCTAGCGTTTTGAACAAACCACAAATCGCAAATCGTCAGCGTCTGGACCGAAAAGTTTCGGATCCAAAGCTCGTCGGACCCAAACCTATGGCCCCTGAATCATGCTAACACTCGCCGATGATTTGTCCTGGACAACACCTGTCGCAACTAAATGCCATGTGTATTTTTCCGGCGTTGACGCCATGTTGCACTTCCCGTAAAACCAAGCAAGTAAGTAAGTACATAAGCAAGTAAATAAGTAAGTAAGTAACTCAGTTCAGTAACTCAGTCAGTCAGTAAGTAAGTAAGTGTGGGTCGGTAGGTGGGTAGGTCGGCAGGCAGGCTGGTAGGTAGGTAGGAAAGGGAGTGGATGGGTACGTAGGTAGGTAGGACATGCGCAGTGGCTGCACGTTATGTCCTTGAGCTTGGCTTCAAAAATGCCAACAGGCCAGGGGGTGGGGAGGCTCGAGATTGAAGTCCCCGTAGATGTAGACCCTGAACCCCACACAACAGCAGTAGGAGGGGGAGTAGTAGTAGTAAACTTAGTAGTAGTAGTAGTAGTAGTAGTAGTAGTAGTAGTAGTAGTAGCAGTAGCAGTATGTAGTAGTAGTAGCAGTAGTAGTAGTAGTAGTAGTAGTAGTAGTAGTAGGAGTAGTAGTAGTAACAACAGTAACAGTAACAGTAGCAGTAGTACAGAAGTGTGGCATAGCAATGCAATGGTACCAATCAAACTTGTGTAGCCCTGCAGTCACGTGCGATATCTGTTACCGAACCATGTGGTTGCCATCAGGTTGCCTCTCCGACGAAGCCCAACTTCACCATGGCAGACTGCCAGGAAGATGGTGAAGAGCTGCCACCACCCATGATCCAGACGCTGCAAGCGCAAGGCTCGTTGTGCGGTCTCCTCAAGAGAGTATTCCAAGCTTTGGCGCTCGTCTGTCGAATGTTGGTGTAGACTAGAGCAGAGAGGTTGGCGGTTTTTTTGCAGACTCCCTGGTCGAATCAGGTGGCGTGGAGAAGCTGGGCATCCACTGGTCCGGGCAGCTGGGAGACAACCGCGGCAGGCTCTATCTCGACGATGCTGCTGTGACGAACGAGCTCCTCGATCCTGTCAGGGAGGGAGGATGCGGGTGTGTCGGGGGTGGGAGGGGGTTGCTGTTGTTGTTGCTGAAACCAGATCTGCGAAGGCACTACGACAAGACTTCGGAAGTTGGCCCGGCCGTGCTGGGGGAGACTGGCTGGTATGACATCGCAGTTCAGAAGATCTCCGTGGGTGACCAGGAGTTCACAGGCCTCGGATGTGCCCCGGAGCCTGGCAAGCAGTGCGTCATGGCAACTGGGCTGCATCTGGAAGCCGCGTGCTTTGAGTAATTAGATATCCTTAGAAAAAGATATCCCAGTGTTTGCGGCAGGACACGGGAACCCCAGCCGTGACGGTGCCGCCGGAAGTCTTCGATTCTGCCGCCCAGCTGATCAAAGCCGGGGGGTCTGCGAACTTGACGTTCTGGTTGCCCGCTGTCTCGGGGGATGCGGTAGCACTGAGCTTCGATTTGGCCACGATCTTCCAGATGGGAGGCCTCTTCAAAGGACGCAAAGAGGAAAACGTGATCCTTGGGCTATCAATGTGGGCTTTCTACTACACTGTCTTCGACATTTCGGCTCAGTCCGTCTCCTTCTTCCCACAACAGCCGGGCACGGAAGCCTCCCGAAGTGCCATCCTCCAGAAGATCTTGGCTGAAGAAAGGGCGCTGGGCCTGCTGCCACCTGGCGAGGGCCGCCGGATGGAAGAGCTGCCAGTGACAGTGCATGTCTGATGTTCAAGGGCGTTGGTGCATTCACCCTGCTTTCAGAGTGCATGCAGGGTTGAATGCCATTCCTGCTTCGCCCCTGTACAGTTGAAGAGGGCGTTTCTTTTGCAAGTGTGACTTTGCCCATATTGCGTCGGCAAGCTGTACAGGTTCAAAGACGCTCGTGAATGCTCACGCTCAGGCAGCATTGGCATCGTGTGCCGGATGCAACGCTTTTGGAAGCCCTGTGGAAACAATCGCCAGAACGACTTGCAATATCCCCAATACGCGCGAGCCCGGCTGACCAGAGCATTTGTGTCTTTTCCCAGGCCTTTGACTTTTCTGAGTGAAGCCCTTCTTGCTTTGCATCATTCAACTTCTAGATTGGTAAGGAAATTATCTGTTTGCCGCGACTCCACACTGAGCACGACCTCCCTTGCCATCCCTTGCCTACTCTCGGCATCCTATCACCAACCTGCAGAGAAAGGCCGGAGAACACGAAGAACACCATACGTCGACGAGAAAGCTTGGAATCTCAAGACCGGCATAGAGAATCACGCCCATCAGATGCAATGTAGTGATGTCAAGCCCCAGGCTATGATGACGATATATGGCAATAATTATATGTTGATGATGCTCATGATGGTGATGAACGGTGGTCAGAGTCATCATGGTTGCATATGGTTGCCATCCGCCCGGCCAGGCCAAAGCTCAAGTCTCCGAGGAGGCGAAGGAAGCGGCCCGCCAGCTGGGCGAGGAGGTGCCAGCGCTCCTGCAAGGGGTCCCTGACTACACCCATTTCAATCGCTAAAACATGCTAAATCCTTAAAATGCTCAACACCCTAGACACTTAGGTTCTGTGCATGGGGGCAAGGGTTGTTCAGACGAGCCTGCCCAAACGAGCTGCAGTGCTGCCATTCCTTCAAAGAAGCAAACTCACAGTTTCACCGAGTATTGTGAGATCCAGGGTGCAGGGATGTCTGCGGTGTAGTCTTGCTTTTTTTCTTTGGGGACCCCGGGGTTGCGAACTTGAAGTTTACAGCTCCAGAGTTGTCTCCCTGCGCGAAGAGCCAACAATGTTGCTTGGGGTTTGGGATGTATGTTTAAGGTTTGGGTGTTTGGGTTTTAAGACTGCGGTTTGGGGTTTTGGGGGTTTGTGGGCGCTGCCAGGCATTGAAGCGCCGTTTGGAGGACCATGGCCGGCGGGGATCTCATGAGAATCCGACTGGGTTACATTGACATGATGATGATTGGTGACAGCATAATGCTGATGGGCACCAGTATAATTAGTTAGGGTCCTGCAGGTTCAGGCTTCAATAGCGAAACTGTGCTGTCAAACGGCTTCCGGCGAGGGTCCTGCGCTGCAAGGAGCATCAGAGAAACAGTAGAATGCATCCCAAACTCCTAACCCATTTTGTTCACCCTAAACCTCTTGTCGACCTTGAACAGGCCAGACTCTTGATTTCGGATCATCGGTATTATGGGTCACGAACAAACCTCCAGGTTCTGCTCGGACGAGGCACGAAGCACACCCAAAGGGTAGTCAGTCTAGAGTTTCCTCATGGTCTCTAGTCTCTTCCAGAACTGTATTCGTTGCAAGCCTCTTCACAGTGCGGTCTAGGCACCACATCGCACTTCTTCGCGATGCCCTTACAGATACAGAGCACTTCATATTTGGATGCCGGAACTGTAGATCAGAGCAGCACCCGGGCGGGCGGAAGACCCGTGTTTGACCCGAGCAGCCAAAGACGAAGCACGTACTCCAAAGCGCTTTAAAAGAGTTTGGAGGAGATCCATCTGAGCGGTGGCGACTACAACTTCTACAGCTCACTGTTGGAAGCCGTCCAAGGGGAGGCAAGGCCCTGGAGCGTCCATCAAACAGCATAATACCGTGGTAGATCATGATACTGTAGTATATCACGGTTGACTATGGCCATAGCCTTATCGTGAATTTCGTACTGTAATTATGTATCTGTGTATAGGATTACAACATCATGCTTGGCGAAGACCCCGACCAGCCCTAGGGCAAGCCCCGTTGAGAACAGGTCGAGCGCTTACGCGCCGTGCTTTCCGGTGCCGCTGCACGTCAGCGCGAGCGCGCGGCGCTTACGTTCGGGGAACGGCTGGGATTGCAAGCCTGACGTCCTGAAAGCAGTTTGAGAATTTGCAGAGGGAAGGTCCTAGACAATCGAAGGCTTGTCTTTCCAAGTCAATGTTCCACCATTACATCTTCGTAGCCGTTTGTTCGGGCATGTTGAACAGATAATCCAGCATCGGGAGCCTCAAAATAGGTACGAGCTTTTGGATATGTAGACCAGCCTCCCAAGGAAACATGCTGCTCCCCCACCTCGTCGAAACCACAAATGGTTTAAGACTAAAAAATCTAGGGCGCTTGTTGCCTGGGCCTGCGTGGAACGGCAGGGCCAGAGCTAAAGGTAACTGCGGCATTATCATATGGCATATGGCACGCTGAATCCCGAAAGCCTGGGCCCTAACTCTAGACCGCAGTATTCCCGCGATTGCTGTCTCGATATGGCACAGCCGCATTCACTTGGCAACAGCCTAACACAGGTTCTGGAATATTTCAAAACACTACCATAGGCATCACCGTAATTATGGAGTAGAAGATGCCCCAAAAGAACACTCTACTTGTGCAGGCCCCTACAGTACACCGCCTCAAAATTCAACAACCTGTGCGTCGTACCCTGGGAACGAAGAAACTGCCGAGAAATGCCAATGAGATGATTGTGTTCGGGGGGGCAAATCATTACCATACTATTCCTGAGGGTTCCTTTACATCGCTACTATAGTATACAGTATACCACAAACCTGATGCTGGTTATTCAGGCCCAGGTACGTTTTTGACGCTCCGCTTTGGGGCAGTTAGTTATTCCAGTTTCCAACTGGGTAGCCAAGACTCATGACTGCAGCCTTACATTGTTTTCGTGGGCCTACTTTCCATCAAAAAGGTCATCCCCTAGACCCGAAACCCAAACACTGCTTCTCTGGAAGAGACGTCTCACGTCGCCTAAGCTCCAGGCCCGAAGACCTCACAGATGCTCCATCACAAAAAAAGGTTTGAATAGTCAGAGATTTGTTGGTAATTGTCTCTAAGAACTTCTACCAAGTAGTTGCTCAGGCTTTGTACCCGTAGTATTGTCCCTGATAACATACCCCCAACACCCTATTCTAGTTGCTAAGCCTTTGTAGTATCAACGCAAGCCAGGCCACTGGCGGCGCGGCTCCGAAGGGGAGCTGGACGAGACGCGTTTTTCGGAGAGTGACCTGCGGAATCCGAAACCGCATGGTCGGATTTAGGCCTCAACTAGGAGGGATTGAAGTTTCAAGGGGTGGGATTGAATTCATGCCTTTGGGCTTAGGGTCATTTGTGAGTTTCGACAACTGAGTCGATCACGCAATGGAGGCTCAGATCTTATGCGCATGAATGGTCTAGTCTACCAGGGCCAAGTCGTTCAGTAAACCCACGGACGTGATGTTCTGCCACCTGCAAAAACACGATCGCTCTCAGCGGAAGCTGTCAAACCTCAAAACTGAGCACAAGACGAGCCAAGGCTTGGTGGATGCTTTGGCCGGCGAATCCAATGTCTTCAGGCTCTGTGCTGCGTAGTGCATACAAAACTGTAAGCCTTGTTTGAGTTACTTGATACTCCCCCAGGGACTCCCCCAGACCTAGTGCCCGGATCGACTGCTACCATTGCTCCTGTCGTAAGCTGCCTCTGTCAGTCAAACCCTGGCCGTCATCATTGTTACTTTCGGAACTAGCTTATGATGCCTCATGACGCAATAAATCCCTACTATGCTACCGGCATCACAGCTTGCTGTGGTTTTGGAGGCACTGGCTGGGTGCTGTTGTCATTCAATAGGCATCCGCGCGTCATGAGTTCCGTGGTCGCAGTAGGCTTGACAGTAGCTGCGAGAATAAGTTGCAGATACAGAACCAATAGCAGCTAGTCAGCTAGTGGTAGCTTCAACGCAAACATTGGTCTTGTTGCACTAATCAGGAGCCGTTGAGCTAGTATGGTCATCAGTATTCTTGTGAATACTACTAGTACTACTACTACTACTACGACGACGACGACACTTGTCATCAAAATTTGTTTTGCCTTCAGTACTTACTGTAATACATATTGTAATCAGCAGGCGGCGTCGGGAGAGAGAGCCTCGGCCGGGGGAGCCACCAATGCAGCCGAAGCGTGCGCTCTTCCTTTTCGCACCTCCGCTTAAAGTTTAGGGTCTTGGGATTTCGGGGCCCAGGATTTGGTTTGGGGTGTGTTGGAGGTCGGGTTTGGGATCATGTGATAGAAGACAGGCCCAGAAATTGAACCACGGCGACGATTCATTTTTATTCTCCCATATTAGACTGCGATTTTGTATTCCACTATCCTGCAGTTTTCAACTTTAGAGAAGAACTGCGATGGAGGTGACTGTAATCTCAAGGGCCCCGGGATTTGGGACGGACGCCGTCAGCAGGTTAGGCCCCGCTTCAGAAACCTTTTGACTTCATAGCAGTGCGTGGCAACAAAGTCTCCTGGGTGCCGAAAAAGACCTTGCGCCTACGGCTTCGATAAGCTCTAGCGGCTCTAGCGTCGAGATTGGAGCCCAGGACGCCTCAGCGTGCCTGGACCGCCATTCAGAGGTGTTGGTGGGTCACGCTGACTCAAAGTCAAGGGAGCGTCGAGATATAGGGATCGGATTTTCGTGAAGTCGCTTGAGGGTAGCATCCCCAGACCCTTTGTGCGATTGGCTCGGCATCATTATGGCCCTTTTGTGTGAAGCCCTGCATCGATTAGTTGATTAGTTTGAAGCACGGCAGATTGGCTTTTTCTGTTTTTAAAAGGGATGGGTTGGACACGAAATCTTGAGATCTAGAGCTTAAGCCTGCAGTGGGCGATGAGCTTTTCAGGATGGACAGGACCACAATGTACATGTACTATAGGGGCCTTAATAAGTAAGTACCTATACTATTTAGGGGGTTCCTATTCTAATTTCAATGTCATGGGCCCCTGTATTGTGTTCTGTTCCGCTCGACTTCCGGGGTGCAAAGTTCTGGGACTGGCACGGTTGCAGTCGAGTTCGATATCCTGAAACGCAATCCATAACATTGGGAGCTGCTAGCTGAGCTCAGCCAGAGCTGGACCTCGAAGAGGGCGGGCATACAGCTCCGGCCGCCCTTGCCAGCTTCGAGGTCGATGTACCGCTTCAACGGCACCGACGGCCGGCTGCGCAGGACCTGCGAGACGGCTGTGATGATTATGGAGGCACTTCAGGGTGTCCCGGCCGCACATCAGCAAGGGCCATGGGCCCCGGAAGGCTAATATAGGGAATTTGGGGGTTCATGTCTATTCTAATTTTTTAGGCCCTTTGTTAGCGGGGGATGCCGTGTTTCTATGGAGACTGGGATTTATCGAGACCCTGAAGCTCCTCAGGCTTGGAATCTCGCTTTGACTACTCCCTGTGCTGTCACGACGGAGACAGCCCCCTGCAGGACTCTGATCAGTTTCAGGGAATTCTGGAAAATCACGGATTTTGAACTTTCTTTCAAGATATTCCTCAGATTGCAAGCAGGATGCCTGGAGCATAAGAACATTTGTGACATTTGTGTGTTGCAGTTGCTTCCGCCCTATCCAGCGATTGGAGAGGAGCTCGTGCCGTTCGGTCAGCCGCCTGCCGATGAGCGAGCACGCCTCACCGTGGTTTCAGCCTTACCTGATTGGCCGCAAGCTGTAACGCAAGATGATCAGTCAGGCTCTTCGAGGTCTGGCAGCTAATCTTGTGCCTATGTTTCCACCAGCACGTTTCACATATGGAATGAGAAATGAAGGGGTCTCAGCAGAGCCAGTATGCTAGGCTGCTGTGGTCAGCCAAGATAAGCCAGGGCAGCTACAAGGCATGACCTCCAATCTTGTACTCAAGTTTCTTTGTTTGAAAAGAGGTGTCGAAGCTTGTGGCTGCTGCCCAGCAACACGGCTGCACAGCGGACGGCTTGCTCCGGCACGGTTTGACTGAATCAGTGTGTACCAGGTGACAAGGTTGAGAAACCCGGCCATGGAAGCAAAAGGTTGCTTTTAGGTGGCACCACTGCCGAAGACGCACGGTCACATCTGGAGCCAAAGTTTGGGCTTCAGGAATGCAAGAGCCTTCGGCAGGTACTGCAGCTCCGGGGACAACACCTTAGAAGCCATCGAGAAAGCCGTTGAGAAGGCGACCGCGTTGCCTCGGTTGGGATGACAGCTTTGGAAGCATCAGAAAATCGGGAGTTCTCTTGACAAGGCTCTTGTCGCTCCCTCTCTAGCATCACGTGGGTTTTCCTCCTGCATCCGGTCACGAAAGGCCTCAACAAATCCGAAAGCCGATCATTTTTGGTTTAGGCTCACCAGATAGCCTATAGTCGAAGTACAAGGTGCCTCAACGCACTCCATGCAGTCAGGGAGAATTTGCAGACTTCTTTCACCACTTCGAACATGTGGGCCCCTTCCACCCTCTGGGTCCTCTTGCTCCCTGGAAGTTTGAAGATGTCTGTTTGGTCAATCGTCGAGCTCACTGCTCTAAGCCTAAGCCGACATCCAGAGCAGGAAGATGCATTTAGCACCCTAAGTTCCTGAGACGCATGACAGTTCTGCGAAGGTTGCTACGTCCGGACCTGCCGACGATCGTTTCGTCTTCGCTTTTTCAGATGCGAATTTCGAGCGGTACGGGCTCACAGCGCAGGCGAGCTGCATGGCTTTGACTTTGATTCTCAGTGAAGACTGCCTTTCGTGCATCTCATGCATGCTGATACTTGTAGCAAACTTTTCAATAACTGGCTCTGGCTCGGCGTGAGCTTCAGAGGTTAGATCGTGTCACAGCTTCACATGAAGCTGGGAGTTGAACACTACGTCTTCGCTTTTCAGGCACTGGGGAAGGCAATGAACGCCCAAGGGCCCGGCAGCGCTGATGAGGTGCGGATGAGTTATTGCCCCTGCGTAAATGAATAAATAGGTGTGTATATATATATATATATATATATATATATATATATTCATAAGCACATATAAAGAGAGACAGCGAGAGAGTTCTGTCCTCAGTGATTCATAGTCGCATGCTTAACCGAAGGACAATCCCAGCCCAAGAAGCTGTCGTCAGCAGCCTAAGTGCCACGTGAATGAACAACTCAACCTTTGAAGCATGCGGGAGGTGCGCTGCATGCTCTTCCTCCTGGCCACCTTCGAGGACGAGGCTCGCGGACTTACCGGACCTTTGAGCCTTAACCCTCTCCAGCATATAGCCACACAACTGCACTTCACCGCATCCGAAAACACCGCTCACCAAAAACAGCCGGCTTGGTAACTATTACAGTGGCCCTCACGCTAGCTACTTTAGTAACTCTCGACCCTAAACCCTGAAGCCCCTACCTCAGCTACTACAGCCACTCGAAGGCTCTGACCATGGCCAACTCGTTGCCCGACCAGGCCTTCTTCCTGCCGCGGGGGGGGGGGGGGGGGGGGGGGGGTTGGGGGGTTTGGGGTGGCATCGGAGGCCGTTCTAGCGATGAGATGAAGGTGCAGGGACTTAGGGTTTTGGGGTTTATGGAGGTTCGTGAAGGTGTAGGATTTTCGAGTCCCGGTATCAGCGTGAGATTCCACCAAAGGTCTAGCTGGTAATAGACTGGAAGTCATTTTAATCGTTTTGGCACACGAAAGCTAACCTGAGTTGGCACATTCAGCTTGATGGTGGCACGGTTCCATTTCGGCTGCCCAAGCCATGTCTTTTCTGGTCCGTCACGCTACTTTATATGGTGAAGATCAGGGCAGTCGGGATGAAGAATTAGAGGCGCACGATCAGGATGGTGATGAAGAGATTGCTGGTATGGACGGGCAGGACGATGATGGCGACGAGCCTTCCTGTTATGATATGTTGGTGAATATGGCTGTACCGCGGATGATCATGGTGATGGGTCTCTAGACCAGAGGCGCTGTCGACGCGAGTCTCAGCTGAATCCCGGAACTGAAACCACGAGACACGTCTTGAAGCCCTACTGAGTGGATCCGACCCCCTTGCTTGTTTGCTTTATAGGGTGCAGATTATTGCAGATTTAGGGAAAAGTATGTGACACCCTGTCTGATTTCCATTCTCTCTTCGCCAACCACGCTTCCAGGTTCGCTTGTGCTTGGATCCGCGGACCTTGCCATCCGAACTGCGGCAGGACACGAGTCAGCGTCCCGGGTCTAACCGGAGGTTCAAAGACGCGGAAGACACGAAGGCTGCGCTAAGCGGCGAAGGCTTTCAGGTTTTCAACACCGCTAGCCAAACACTTTCGCGAAGCCTTGAGGTATGCTGAACTTGCCGTCCTGCGCTGCAAACCGTTGAAAGGCAAATCTGACATGAGAGATTGACGAAATAGCACGCCTCAGAAGACAACGTTCTCATCGCTCAGTTCCCCTTTAGCCTCCGCGCACAACCTGCGTTACCACGCCTTGTCGCCCAGAACCAACCCGCTTCCTGCAGGAGTTCGCAAGCCGCATGGGCCGGCGCTCGGCTTTGTAGATATCTCAGGTTGCAAGCAGAGATCCCGCAAAGCCTCAGAGCTCACGGAGGTTAAGCCGGAAGTCGTAACAATCGGAACCCTGAGCAGGGGTTCCGATCGTTCTGGCCTTGCAGGATCTCTTGCGGCAACAGACTTGATTTGATCGCGCAGCCAAACGAGCCCATCTTGAACTCAAGCGTCGTGTCATGAGTTGATTGACACGTTCTGAGCACCGCACTTTCGGATAGTTTAGGAGGTTCCTTATCATAGTTATGGTATAACATACCCCCAAACCCTATATTCTAATTATTGAGGCCCTTTATTGTAGAGCCCTACTGTAGATCCCTCATAGTAACCCTTATAGACCCCTTTGAAGACCCCCATATTATCTCTGGCTCTTGCGACACAGTTGGAGCTCCTCCGTTTCCTCGGCTCTTTGTCTGCCCTTACTGCTCCTTTTTTGGGAAGAGGTGAGCATGCTTTCACCGGGTCTCTCTTTTCGGGCATTTTGATCTAGAGTTCAGTCTCTGTGGTTCGTTTTTCTGGGCACTGCAGATGGAGTCTGCCCCTGGTTGTGAGCTCCTTACCTGATAGCCGCCATCTTCCGAAAGTTGTCAGTATCATTTGAGGCATGTCTAGGCTTCCGTAGAAGGCAGAGGTTGTGAGAAGCTGCGGCGATACTTCTTGTCTTTTTGCTGGAGGGTCCCGGCAAAGGCCCATTGGCCTTCATGGATTGGAGCCCACTGGCGTGGTCACATTGTATTGTGGTTTTGAGACTGCAAAGCACATAGTATATGCGCCTACATAGCCTAAATAACTACTACTACTGAATCTACTACTACTACTACTACTACTACTACTACTACTACTACTACTACTACTACTACTACTACTACTGTCTCCTTGTTGTAATTACAGTATTATCTAAGATGAAAGTTCGGCGTCCTGCCTGTCATGCTGCAGATTTCGGCTCCAGCTGCAGCCTTTTTAACAAGATGACAATGCTGTACTCACATGCGACCAGTCCAATAGATTGGACAGCACTTCCCCGAAACTTCCAGCCCTCAGCAGCTTACCCAACAACGAAAAAAAGCATAGAACCACAGCAAGAAGTGCGCTGAAATTGGGGCAGCCTGCCGGGGGCAGCGTCCAGGTCTGGCAGTCACAGCTGCTGAAAAGCGCTACTTAAAGAGAAGGGTTATTGTAAGGCATCTAAGTTCACACAAGGGTTACTTTAAGTGACAAAAGTGTCGCTGAGTCAAGAACTGTCTTTTGATTCGCAGAGCGAGCTACCCATACCTTTGCTTCTGCTTTTGACCAGTAGATCGGATGCGCCAGGATGACCAAACCGAAGCGGCCGAAGTACGAGACCGTGCAGTGCAGCTGCCGCATCATGATGGTTTGGTAATGTGGTACTGCAGGCCAAAGTGGATGTCCAAATGATGTGCTTACCACACAGCGGTGAACCAACATGAATCAACCAGGCACTGTAATCCGCAGTTGATCACTATTGTATGCACATGGATGGTTGGCATCGCTGCTCTCAGACTGCTAATCTCTTCTTATGCCAAGGCCTTTGTCTAGCTGGCTTTGCCTGGATTTCCAGCTTTCGCGAGGTACACGCCGCCTACGCCACAGGTGTTTGGCAGCCAGCTGCCAACCGATATACCAGCGTCGCCCGGACCTTGGTTCAAGAGGAAAGCTTCACCTCCGACTGGAAGTACATCAGTGCGACTTCGGTTTCAAGCAGCCGGCACGAGGCTTGACTTGTGTGACACTTCCGATACGTGTCAGGAAGCCTCCGTCGACTTCTTCGTCATTCAGTGTCGACCGTCCGAGGACTTCGGCTTGACATCTTATGGCTCAAGGGTCGACGGTGTGGTTTAAGGTTGTGGAGTCGTTGAACTTGAGCCATCCAGCTACTCGCAGGCGCGTCCCAAGAGGAACTGCAGCAACAATGCCTTAGATCGGAATCGATGAGCAGCGACGCGAGAAATTACAATCAACAAGCGGCGCTCAGCTGCAGCGTAAGAAGGACAGAGAGCGGCATCAGCAAACATTAGCCGCAACAACAGCAGGAGGCCTTATTGTTCAACAACAGCACCCTCATCAGCAAAACTGCAAGCACCAGGAAAGCAGCAACAACTTCGGATCTTCCCCACCGCCGGCTGTTCACACTGATGCGATCGTCTCGTGTTCCCACATCCATGACAAACTCTTCCGGTGTAGGAATCGGCCAAAGCTGCAAGACAGATTGGCAGTCTACGAGGACTGGCTGCGATGCTCCAGAGGTCAAGGGGTTGCGGGTCCAACATTTTAGGTCAGCAGGTGACGCCGGGCGATGTTGGGACATTAGAATGACACAAAGGTTGTGTGCGCTGGCCCCAGATCCAACACCTTGAAGCAGTGAAGCAGATGCCGGCAGGACGACAATCCACGATGCCAACAGTTGATCTGTACAATTGGAATTCTGTTTCCGCCCCTGTGGCTCGTCGGTGCGGCAATGCCCCGCACTCGGCATTTGCGAGTTAGTCGCGAGATGGAAGCAGACATCCCGAGATACGAAGAACGCTACTCGTACTTGGAGTAGGACTGAATACTCCAACCCTACAAAAATAGCCTAATTACGTATACTATTTTGGGGGTTCCCCTTATTATAAGTATAGTATCATGGGCCCTAAACCCTAAACCCTAAACCCCTTATAAGTATAGTATCATGGGCCCGAAAACCCCTCTTTTCAACAGAACCCTCATTTCCTGGGGCGGCCTGAGCCTGCTCGGACCCGTCGTTAGTCGCTTTTGATTTGAGCATGCTGATGATCCTAATAGTAATAGTAACAGTAATAGTAATAGTAGATGCTATAATGTCCAGTGGGATGTAAAAAAGCTGATTGCAGTGTCATGTATGATCCCTGAAGTATGCAGGAGTTTTTGGCCATTTGGTCTGCAAGATGGCTGTGTGATGGTGCTAGTCATTTCCTCCAAAAGGGCTAGCCTCAATCTCAGTGCAAAGTGTCTCGCCACATCTGGATCCCAGCAAAGCTACTCAGGTATGCAGCAACGCCCCCCGCAAAAACAGCGACCAGAGAGGCTTCGGCAAGTCGCAGCTTATGTCTTTCGCGGCTGTGGAAGCTCAGGGCGGGAGATATCGATTGTCCAGTGCAAGTCACCCAAGTTTGCAGAATCAAGCACAGTGATCGGCGTTGATCTCGAGAGCATTCTTCCTGCCTGGTTCGCGGCACTCCGGCCTCTGACCCTCACATCCGTGGACACAGGCGGGCTTCAGGAATCTGATCCTGTCGATCATTTTGTTCGTTGTGCTGGCTCCTCATTGCTCAGCGTGCGTGCGTTTGGAGCAATCGTGATTTTGTAAATTGTGATCTCGACGGGGGGTTCAGCCTTCGGCATTGCAAACTTATCACAGACCTATCACGTTGTCAATGTTCGGTGCCGGTTTCCGGTGTTGGATCGCTGGACAGCATGCTTTGGGTTATCAGGTCATGAAGAATGTTGTGGTCCTTTGCCTATATAACTGCAAGAGCGACCAAACCGACTCTCATGTGAACTCTACTGCGTCATGTCGGACCTAGCTGGCTCACTTTACCTACCACCCCATGCTTTGTTAGCAAAGGCTCATTGTCTACGCGGTGTACAGATTCTACACGCCTGGCTGCAGCCCCAGATTGGTGCATGTGCATTTGGACAGATCCAAGTTCTGATGTGGAAGTTGACTGTCATTCAATGTTGTCACGGTCATGAGCCACAAGGGGAAGCGAGCCTCGTTTGTCCTTGTACAGAACCTCCTTTCATAAGTGCAGGTTACCCTTGCTTGTGAAGACTATGCCTACATGTCACGTCACTGCAGCTTCTCTCTGCTTCCGCATATGACATGATCGTGAAGCAGGTGGGCTCTCACCAGGACGCTGATGGCGAGAAAACGCTGCACAGGGCGATGCGACATCCCCTTCATCTAGGATCTAGCAACTCCGTGCACGGTATCAATCGTCAAAAGGAGAGTGGGGCTGGAATCACCTGTCTGACCTACTCATAAGCAAGATCGAAAATGCCATTTTGCAAGAGACTCTTGAGGTTGCTCAGAAATACGTGCCTCAGCATGTAGAT